CCAGCTCGGGATCTGTTTACCTTGGTGATCCCGGCTACTCACCGGGCACTTGCGACGATTTGTTTGCCAACACTGAGCTCTCGGACTCGCCGATGAGGCCTCGGCTGTCTGTGCAGTGGCAACCACCGTCGCCTGTAGCCTTGATTCGCGGTGACCCGGTGGTGCCTCGCCGCTGCACTGACACCCCCATCCTCCGCCACCTTAGAGAAACGTACGCCTAAAACTTGCGCACTCGTACGGGTCGCCGCTCTTGGATGATTGACTAGTTAGATATTTTTTGCTGCGCCATCGCCGTTCTCGGTAACGCGAAAACCGTATTCCTCTATCAAACGCGTCTCCGTCTCCCAGACTCCCCAACAGCACATCTCTAAGTGCTTGGCCATTTGTTTCCAAGCACTATCGGGCGGTACACGCAATAGGCCTTGCGATTAGGCCTCCGGGCAGGCTTCCGGTCAGGCCAGCGAACAGGAGGTCCGTCGCCAGGTTACCAAGGGAGAGGGAGAGAGAGAGAGAACGAAGGAAAGAGAGAGAGAGAGAGAGAACGAAGGAAAGAGAGAGAGAGAGAGAGAGCGAAGGAAAGAGAGAGAGAGAACGAAGGAAAGAGAGAGAGAGAGAGAACGAGAACGAAGGAAAGAGAGAGAGAGAGAGAACGAGAACGAAGGAAAGAGAGAGAGAGAGAGAACGAGAACGAAGGAAAGAGAGAGAGAGAGAGAGAACGAGAACGAAGGAAAGAGAGAGAGAGAGAGAACGAGAACGAAGGAAAGAGAGAGAGAGAGAGAACGAGAACGAAGGAAAGAGAGAGAGAGAGAGAACGAGAACGAAGGAAAGAGAGAGAGAGAGAGAACGAGAACGAAGGAAAGAGAGAGAGAGAGAGAACGAAGGAAAGAGAGAGAGAGAGAGAACGAAGGAAAGAGAGAGAGAGAGAGAACGAAGGAAAGAGAAAGAGAGAGAGAACGAAGGAAAGAGAAAGAGAGAGAGAACGAAGGAAAGAGAAAGAGAGAGAGAACGAAGGAAAGAGAAAGAGAGAGAGAACGAAGGAAAGAGAGAGAGAGAGAGAACGAAGGAAAGAGAGAGAGAGAGAGAACGAAGGAAAGAGAGAGAGAGAGAGAACGAAGGAAAGAGAGAGAGAGAGAGAACGAAGGAAAGAGAGAGAGAGAGAGAACGAAGGAAAGAGAGAGAGAGAGAGAACGAAGGAAAGAGAGAGAGAGAGAGAACGAAGGAAAGAGAGAGAGAACGAAGGAAAGAGAGAGAGAGAGAGAACGAAGGAAAGAGAGAGAGAGAGAGAACGAAGGAAAGAGAGAGAGAGAGAGAGAGAGAGAGAGAGAGAGAGAGAGAGAGAGAGAGAGAGAGAGAGAGAGAGAGAGAGAGAGAGAGAGAGAGAGGGGGGGGAAAGGGAGAAAAAAAAGAGAGAGAGGGGAAAGGGAGAAAAAAAAGAGAGAGAGGGGAAAGGGAGAAAAGAGAGAGAGAGAGAAAGAGAGAGAGGGGAAAGGGAGAAAAGAAAGAGAGAGAGAAAGAGAGAGAGGGGAAAGGGAGAAAAGAAAGAGAGAGAGAAAGAGAGAGAGGGGAAAGGGAGAAAAGAAAGAGAGAGAGAAAGAGAGAGAGGGGAAAGGGAGAAAAGAAAGAGAGAGAGAGAGGGGAAAGGGAGAAAAGAAAGAGAGAGAGAAAGAGAGAGAGGGGAAAGGGAGAAAAGAAAGAGAGAGAGAAAGAGAGAGAGGGGGGAGGAAAGAAAGAGAGAGAGAGAGAGAGGGGGGAGGAAAGAGAGAGAGAAAGAGAGAGAGGGGGGGAGGAAAGAGAGAGAGAAAGAGAGAGGGGGGAGGAGGAAAGAGAGAGAGAAAGAGAGAGGGGGGAGGAGGAAAGAGAGAGAGAAAGAGAGAGAGGGGAAAGGGAGAAAGAAAGAAAGAGAGAGAGGGGAAAGGGAGAAAAGAAAGAGAGAGAGAGAGGGGAAAGGGAGAAAAGAAAGAGAGAGAGAAAGAGAGAGAGGGGAAAGGGAGAAAAGAGAGAGAGAAAGAGAGAGAGGGGGGAGGAAAGAAAGAGAGAGAGAGAGAGAGGGGGGAGGAAAGAGAGAGAGAAAGAGAGAGAGAGGGGGGAGGAAAGAGAGAGAGAAAGAGAGAGAGGGGGGGAGGAAAGAGAGAGAGAAAGAGAGAGGGGGGAGGAGGAAAGAGAGAGAGAAAGAGAGAGGGGGGAGGAGGAAAGAGAGAGAGAAAGAGAGAGGGGGGAGGAGGAAAGGGAGAGAGAAAGAGAGAGGGGGGAGGAGGAAAGGGAGAGAGAAAGAGAGAGGGGGAGGAGGAAAGGGAGAGAGAAAGAGAGAGAGAGAGAGAGAGAGAGAGAGAGAGAGAGAGAGAGAGAGAGAGAGAGAGAGAGAGAGAGAGAGAGAGAGTAATTATAATAATTAATTATAATTATAATTTATATATATATATTTTTTTATAATTTAGTTTGATTCCATTTGTTACAATGGATATTCTTGGTGTGACATACTGTCTGTTTTATTTTGCTTCTAAATTATCCCCTGTGCGCAGGCAATGGCCGGGGTTACCATCCACTGGTGGCGAGGGATTCGAACGCAGGTCAGCAAGATTGCTAGACGAGATCGCTACCGCTGCACCACACAGAAAGAAAGAAAGAGGGGGAAAGAAAGAAAGAAAGAGGGGGAAAGAAAGAAAGAAAGAGGGGGAAAGAAAGAAAGAAAGAGGGGGAAAGAAAGAAAGAAAGAGGGGGAAGGAAAGAAAGAAAGAAAGAGGGGGAAGGAAAGAAAGAAAGAAAGAGGGGGAAGGAAAGAAAGAAAGAAAGAGGGGGAAGGAAAGAAAGAAAGAAAGAGGGGGAAGGAAAGAAAGAAAGAAAGAGGGGGAAGGAAAGAAAGAAAGAAAGAGGGGGAAGGAAAGAAAGAAAGAAAGAGGGGGAAGGAAAGAAAGAAAGAAAGAGGGGGAAGGAAAGAAAGAAAGAAAGAGGGGGAAGGAAAGAAAGAAAGAAGAGGGGGAAGGAAAGAAAGAAAGAGGGGGAAGGAAAGAAAGAAAGAAAGAGGGGGAAGGAAAGAAAGAAAGAAAGAGGGGGAAGGAAAGAAAGAAAGAAAGAGGGGGAGGAAAGAAAGAAAGAAAGAGGGGGAAAGAAAGAAAGAAAGGGGGAAAGAAAGAAAGAAAGAGGGGGAAAGAAAGAAAGAAAGAGGGGGAAGGAAAGAAAGAAAGAAAGAGGGGGAAGGAAAGAAAGAAAGAAAGAGGGGGAAGGAAAGAAAGAAAGAAAGAGGGGGAAGGAAAGAAAGAAAGAAAGAGGGGGAAGGAAAGAAAGAAAGAAAGAGGGGGAAGGAAAGAAAGAAAGAAAGAGGGGGAAGGAAAGAAAGAAAGAAAGAGGGGAAAGGAAAGAAAGAAAGAAAGAGGGGAAAGAAAGAAAGAAAGGGGGAAAGAAAGAAAGAAAGAGGGGGAAAGAAAGAAAGAAAGAGGGGGAAAGAAAGAAAGAAAGGGGGGAAAGAAAGAAAGAAAGAGGGGGAAAGAAAGAAAGAAAGAGGGGGGAAAGAAAGAAAGAAAGAGGGGGAAAGAAAGAAAGAAAGAGGGGGAAGGAAAGAAAGAAAGAAAGAGGGGGAAAGAAAGAAAGAAAGAGGGGGAAGGAAAGAAAGAAAGAGGGGGAAAGAAAGAAAGAAAGAGGGGGAAGGAAAGAAAGAAAGAGGGGAAAGAAAGAAAGAAAGAGGGGGAAAGAAAGAAAGAAAGAGGGGGAAAGAAAGAAAGAAAGAGGGGGAAAGAAAGAAAGAAAGGGGGAAAGAAAGAAAGAAAGAGGGGGAAAGAAAGAAAGAAAGGGGGAAAGAAAGAAAGAAAGAGGGGGGAAAGAAAGAAAGAAAGAGGGGGAAAGAAAGAAAGAAAGAGGGGGAAAGAAAGAAAGAGGGGAGAAAGAGAGGAGATGAATATCGACATAATCAAAGCCAAGAATTTAAAAACAAGAAATCTAGCTACGAACCCCTCCCTTAGAATTACGGTTGACAAAATGTAATCCCATTGAGATAATTCCTTACAGCACGGACGCATCCAACCCTACATCACAAAATTAATTCAACAATCCAAGTTGCCGTGAGTGGGCATGTCCTTCGGGTTAATGAGGGGCTCTGTCCCAAGAAACATTGTCTTCACCTCGGTATGCAAGATAAGAGCTGAAACACGGGAACACCGACTGGACTGTGAGCGATGCTTGCCGCGATCTTTTTCCTTTTGGTGGCGTTATTTCTGGTACCGACTGTAACTCTTTGTCATCTAGAAGAATACCAAGTACTATCTGCCCGACCATGGTCGTCCATAGCGTACATACTAACCCTGGCACGAAATAAATTAAATTATCTACAAAATAGACGATTCCACGTAATTGTGATCACAGTATTTCCATTGCAGAAAAACGAGCACATTAGGTTTCATCTACTGGATCCACTGGAAGCTCAAAGTGTAAAGTGGACTTACAAAAGGACTGACGAGCAGGAATGTCAATAAGGAAGGGCATCTCTCTCACTGATGTCTTCCACACTGGCCATTAAACTGCATCGCATTACAGCATTGGCAACAACACAGAGCAGTAGCAGAACGGCCATCATCGCCCTCGGACAAAGAGCACTAAGGAGACAGGTGTTACACCCGGAGCAGCAGGTGTTTCGCACATGACACAGTCGTTATACCGAGGTTGCTTGGAGGTCAACCGTCTACCTTTGAGCACAACCCCTTTACAATCCAAGGCACTGTGGCAAATGATGAGGCACTCCTCCGAGCGAATGAATATGGCATAAGCCAACGACGTCCTGCCGCCGAGGCCCGCAGTGCCTGGGCCCAGAGGCTCGGCAGGAGCGGCGACCCGCACCTCCGAGGGAATACGTGCGCCGCCGAACGTAGGCCCCAACCCCGCTTCGGGACCTCTCTCCCGCTCATCGCACGACGCCCTCGTTCGTCCTGAGCGATCACTCCCATCGCGGTCGGATTTTTTTGTTAATGTCGCGACTAATGTACGAGGTGTAACCAAATAATTTAAACACTTACCAAAGTCTGTGAACTGTTGCATTGAAAGTGGCGACGGATTGAATTGCGAATAGTGGTCGAGCCTCTCTTCTATCAAGGCTCTCGCCTGCCGAAATAATATTCTGTAGATCCTCATGTTGAAGAAGATATTATCAAATACTTTCGCTCTTTACACGACTGAGGGACCAATGGACACCACCAGCTGCACATCCAGACTCTTGCTGTGTCAACGTACGTCTGAAGAGTGA